GGCTTCTCGCTTCGATATTCATCGAAGCGAGAAATATCATTGACGTAGTTATCCGTGAGAATAATAAAGTCCTTCCATTAATCGCTGGCTCGTATCGCCGATGCAAGATTCGCGCCATTACCGATGTTTATACGAAACAAAATTTTATCTTTTTTATACACCACCAGCTGAATTACTCGATGTCGTTCGGTCGAGTTCTTACATTATCGCGTAAACCGCAACTTTTTCACTCTTTATACAAAGAGTGTATAAAGATTTGTGTTCGATTTGACTTCTAAATATCGAATATTTTCCTTTCTAACGAGGTTCATATACGTATAAACATTTGTAAACAGAGGGACCAAATGTATCAACGTAGAAAAGTTTGAAGGAAATCGATGACCCGAAGTACTCGCGTTTTCCTCGTAAACCGAAAAGTCGAAGCAACGCTACTTAACGTACGTAGTATCGAGTATTCGTCGACTTTTTTTTTTCCGGTAATGTTTAACGAACCGATTCGCTACTCTCTTTCTCTCTGGTCTACGAGCTTTCTTCTCTATTCGTTCGTTCGCTCGCGCAACCTGTTATCCCGCGCGTCGACTTCTTCCTCGGTTATTTTATTCCTTAATTTGCTCTACCAGCCGCGGCTCGTCTTGCCATCCTTTCCGACTACTTTCTTGTCGACACGGTTTTCCTTTCGCCGTTGTTTCCCTTCGTTTACACCGGGTGACACGCTCCCTTTTTCTTCGATAAATACTGTTTGGGACGGTAGACAATAAGATGTTTACGACGTTACAATCATTCCGGTGTTCGTTCTTTTACGATTCATAATTTACCCTCACCGATTTACCCTCGTACGATTTTCGATTTTAGGATTTCTAAAGAACCATGAGTCGAAACGAATTTTCATCGCAGCCACATTCTCGATAGATAACCTTACGTTTCGGATAATGAAATTCCGTGAAAAAGAAAATAATTAAAACAAGAAATTTTTGAAATTTAAACATCTGTTCGAGAGGCATTGATCGAACGAGTGCGCGTACAGTGGCGCCCTCTGTAGCTAGCGTACGTTCGTCAAAATGGAAAGACAAATAAATTCGTTCCTTTTTTCGAGAGTAAAGAGCTTTCGGGAAGCTCGATTTGGCCGGTCGATTTATTTATTTTATTTTTTTTTGCCATTCTCCAGTCGTATTCTGGATCGGCGTCGTCGTGTCGTTGCCGAGCCGCGTCGAATCCAATATTTCTCGTCGTATCTCGGCACCGGCTGCTGGCACTCCCCTTTCCCTCCTTGATTTTCCCTGGATGCATCTCGCCGCTTTAAGCTCCGATCCTGTCGTACTGTCGTGTCGACAGTTACAAACGAGACGTCCTATAACTGTCAGCAAGCAGGAGGGAGGCAGTTCGGTCCGAGACGCTTCCTTCCTAGTGAAATTACGCGTGAACGTCTCGATCGTGGGCTGGTTACTTGCTCGAAACTGAAGCGTTAACGTAACCGCGTGTCGTGCTGGTTTAATCGATAGCCGAGCGATTAATCAACCCTTGACTAACTCCCCGCCTTTCGAAGAAGCTTTCCACCTTTTTATCGCAACGTGCACTCTTGTTTAACCGGTGTTCGACTTTGTCGATCGTTCGAGCTTAAATCGCGTCTAGTCGGACCACGAACCAGTTACGCCAATTCCTTTTTCATTATCCACCCTTTGGTCTCTTCGTATTCCACCTATCGCTCGTTACCTAAAACGGATTCGGATCATTCGAATTATTCCGATATTCGCTGTACCTTAACACCGGGACGTTGAAAC